AGCGGGGATTTAATCTTTGAAATGCGTGGGACTCCGAGTTAGGTTTGTCTTGTGAGGCCTAGCGGTATCCGAGAGTCCTCCCCACCTCCCTGGGGCCTGGGGCGGATCTCCACCACCGGGGTGGGGTCTCCCTGGGGAGGGAGGGCGGGTCCCAGAAAGCGGGGGGCGGGGTCTCCGTAGAGGCGGTCCTGGCGCATGGACCTCCACCAGGGCTTGCCGAGAGCTTCCGTAGCGGAGGGCACAGCTCAGTGCCTCCCCCGATTGTGGGAGTTCGGGGAGGGGAGGCCGGCGCGACGCCCCCCAGGCAGTGATGGCACCCTGTCCCCAGCTGGCCTAGCCTACTCAAACCTGGTGTACGACTGGGTGAAGGCGGCCGTCCTCTTCGGCGTCGTGAACACCGTGGCGCGCCTGGACCACTTGGACCCGCCCCAGCCTCCCAAGTGCATCACAGCGCTCTACGTCTTCGCGGAAACGTGAGTGCGGGGTACGGGGGACATGCCCATTCCCTTAGCCTCTCCCCCATGGCCCCGGAGCTCTGCTCCTGGCTGTTTCACACCAATCTGCTCTCCTCCCACAGGCACTTTGACCGAGGCATCAACGACTGGCTTTGCAAGTGAGTTGGGGTGGGGTGGGAGGATGGTCACAGCCATCCTGCCAAGTATCTGAACAGGGCATTGCCGAGATTGGTCCATGTTTTAAAAGATCACCCCTGGGCCAGAGGAAGTAAGGAGGGGAATGAGCAGCTCATCACAGAGGTCCAGATGAGAGACAGAGAGGTTTGGACTTGGGTGGGGGCCTTGAGGTGAGAGAAATGGTCAGAGTAGAGACACACAGCAGGCAGCCTGGACAGGACTTGGCCCTGGATTGGAGGGTACCAGGGAAGAGTAGGAGATGACTCCCAGATTTCTATCTACAGCCTGGGAGGATGGAGAGGCAGTTTCCAGAGAGGGGTTCAGTTTGAGAAATGTCTGCTTGGAACCTGGGAGACATCCTTGTGGAGGTTCAGGAAGGTGGCTGGGTCTGAGGGTCTGTGGTTCAGAGAAGTCTGAGGACTGATGGAACTCTGAGCATTGTGTGTGGGTGGGTGGTCTTTAGGCCTTGGGAATGGATAAGTCCCAACGAGGAAGAGTAGAGTAAGGAGAGAAGGGATAGCTGGGGCCTGCAAGGGCTCTGGTTGAAGGGAGAAGGAAGAGCTGGCAGAAGGTACTGAAAGGGGTGGTCAGAGGAACAGGAGAAAAGTCAAGACCGTTAATACCCCGGACACTAAGAGAAGACCATCTTGACCTGGTGAGGGCAACTGGGTCAGATGCTGTTGGGTCAAGGAAGCTAGAGACTGAGCGTTAGTGTTGGTGGCATGGAGGTGTCCGGCCCTTCAGTGGAGGGGCAGGGGCAGGCGAAGAGTGAAGGAAGTGAGGAACCACAGGGGAGTTCCTGTGTGGACAACTCCTGGTACTGAGGGAAGACAGAGGAGTGGCTGAAGGGAGAAGTGGGGTGTTTTAAAGATGAGAAATAATAGGACATGCTTGACTGCTGAGGGGAATTATTCAATAGAGCGGAAGAGGTTGGTAAGGCACGATAGGAGGGTGATTAATGGAGTGAGGGCCCTGAGGAGGGAGGAGGAGATGGAACTAGTGCCAGGCAGAGGCTTGGCTTCAGGACAGGGAAAAGAAAGAGAAGTAAGTGTGGATGCAGAAGGATGGCAGGTTAGTGTAGAAAGGTGAGGGATTCCACCTGAAGGCTCAGTTTTCTCCATGAAGTAGGAGGCAAGGTCATCAGCTGAGAGATGCAGGGTTGGGGGCATGGAGAGAGGCAGCATCTGTGTGCCTCCTTCCCTCCTGCCTAGATCCCCCCACACTCACGCATACTTGGCAAGGGGAGGTAAGGGTGGAGTAGCCACTGCAGAGCAGACAGAAGAAGCTGACTAGAGAAACCTTGGCGTTAGAGACCAGGTGGAGTTGGAGGTAGTGGATTTATGGACTCTAATATGTGAAGGTGTGAGATTTTCCCCATTAGGGCTTAGCTTCTTGGGTGTAGGTGAGGAAAAAGTGGGTGACTAGGCTCTCCCAGATGAGTGAGAAGGAAGAAGTGAGGGATAGGGTGTTTTAGGTTATTTATAATGATGACTCATTGAATATAAGCCTGTTAAGGAGTGTGGCGAAGATAGGAGGGATCACAAGATGAGGAGGGCGGGTGTCAGTGAGATTGAAGAACTGGAGCTGGAGGGCCAGGTCAGGAGGGGCTGGGTGAAGAATGGTAATTAGAAAGGAGGGAAATTTTAAGTGGTGACAAAGTTGGGATGTGGCCATGGTGGTGAGTGGGTGGCTGAGGTGGAGTGGAGAAGAACCCATTGGAAATGAGGATGTCAGGTGATAGAGAGGCCAATGAGTCTTCCACTGAATTTATTTAACAAGTATTTATTGAGCACCTACTGTGTGCCAGGCACTGTTCTAGGCACTGGCGATACAGCAGTGAACACGGCAAAGCCCCTGAACTCATGGAACTTACAGTCTAGTGGGGAGAAACAGACTATAAACAGGTAAACACATCCATAAGATAATTTTAGACGGTGGTAAGCATTATGAAGAAAATAAAACAGGGCAATGGGATAGAAGCTGGACACAGGATAGAAGCTTCTGTACTTGGGGTTTGGGCAGGCCTCTGTGAGGTGATATTTAACTGAGACTTGAGTGATAAGGAAATCTGGGGAGGAGAATTCCAGGTAGAGGGAACACGTGCAAAGGCCTTGAGCAGGAGCCAGCTGTGTGTATGCGAGGGCAAGAATGGTGGGTGATGAGGTCAGAGATGGAGGCAGAAACCAGACGATGTGGGATCTTCTAGCCAAAGTAAGGAGGTTGAGTTTATTCTAATTGTATCAGGAAGCTATTGGGGCAGGGTTTAATTGTGGAAGTGTTGGGATCCGAGTTACACTCTTAGAAGATGCCACTAGCTGCTGTGCAGAGAAAAGATGGTAGCGGGGCAAAGGCAGAAGCAGGAAGCCAACTTAAAAGGCTCTTGCAATAATCTGTGTGAGAGGAGATGAGCACCTGGACCAGGGTGGTGGTAGTGGAGGTGGTGAGCAGTGGTCAGGACTGAGTGGAGCCCATCGAATTTGCTGGCTTGGATGTGGGTGGAGAGGGGAATTGGGAGGCCAAGGTGGCGCCAAGGCTTCTGGCCTGCAACTGAATGGACGGTAGTGTCATTAACTGAGATGGGGATGGAGCAGGTTTGGGCAGGGATGGTGGCATCAGTCATTCAAGTGAGATGTCTGGTAACAGTTGAATATATGATTCAGGAGAGAGTAGGCTAAAGTCACAGACTTGGGGCTCACCAGCATAGAGACAGTATTCAAAATCTTGGGTCTGGATGAGATGACTTGAGGATTGAATCAACAAAGCTAGAGAAGATATGAAGCTCGAGGCTGAGCCCTCCACATTTTGACACTGGGTAGAGGAGGAGCAGCCACCTGAGGTCAGCAATGTTGAATGTGCCCAGGATGATGGCGTTGCGGAGGGCCGCCCCTGTTGTGTATCCTTTGCCCATCTCCCTCCTGCCCTTTCCCACACTGCCACCGGCCCCTTCTCCTGCCTTTCCCGCAGGTACGTGTATGACCACATTGGAGGGGAGCACTCCGAGGTGATCCCAGAGCTGGGGGCCACTGTGGCCACCTTTTCCATCACCACTCTGTGGCTCGGGCCTTGTGGTATCGTCTACCTGTGGTCATTCCTTAACTGCTTTGGCCTCAACTTTGAGCTCTGGGTGCAGAAACTGGTAAAATTGGGGCCCCTAGCACAAATTGAGGTGAGCAGGGAAGGTCTGGCACTGGGGTTGGCTGGGTCACTGGATAGGGTGGCACTACTGCTCTCTGGAGTCTTCCAGCCACACTTGGCCCCCAGTCCAGAACTTTCTCACCACTACCCTCCTGGTTGTCAGGGCAGTGGCTCCCACTGTGGGTAAATGGCCCTCCCTAACTTCTGTGTGGTGTGGGGCACCCAGGCCTGGCTGTATTGGTCAAGCCCTGCCCTCTCTCCAGACCTCAGTTTCCCCATCTTTAACAATGAGGGAGAGCTGACCTGGGACTCTCAGAGACACAGGCGTATCTCCAGGACCTGGATGGCCATGTGGGCAGGGCCTCTGAACAACCACATCTTCTTTCCCCTGGGCCTCTTGCCTCACTGTCAATGTTTTCCTGGACCCGGCAGGCCTCCCTGTCGGAGCAGACATCCCGCAGGGTCCGGGCTGTCTTTGGGGCCATGAACTTCTGGGCCATCATCATGTACAACCTAGTAAGTCTGAACAGCCTCGAGTTCACAGACCTGGTCGCCCGGCGCCTGCTACTCACAGGTGAGGGACAGGGGTGTGGGGATACAGAATGTGCCAGGCATCAGCCTTGAGGACTGTGACCTTCTAAAATGCCCTCACCTACCCCAATTCCCCAGGGACTCAACAGGGAGGGCCAGTTAAGTGGGGAGAGGCATGGGAAGAGAAGAGTCACTGAGGGGATGCTGCTCCCAGGCACTGATGACCTCGTTCCCACACAGGGTTTCCCCAGACCACGCTGGCTGTCCTGTTTGTCACCTACTGTGGTGTCCAGCTGGTGAAGGAGCGAGAGCGAACCCTGGCGCTGGAGGAGGAGCAGAAGCAGGACAAAGAGAAGCTGGAGTAGGTGGGAGGGGGAGGGGAGACGGGCTCTGCTCAGCTATTCCTGGGCCCAGGCCCAGGCCAGGCCAGATGGGGCCTGACTGATAGAATAAAAGACTTTTCTACCACAGTTTGGCTGTTCCCTGACCTTTCCCCCAGTAGTCTCCTGGCTCCTTGTCCATGCTGGATGAGGAGCTGGAGGTTCTGGGCCTCAGGGAGGGGCGTCAAGCTCTTGGCACACAAAGAGTGTGGAGGAGACACCCACATGGAGGGCAGAGACCACCAACCTTGGCAACCCAACACCTGAGCATTGAAGCCCCAAATCTCTAAACCACCTGGTCACTGACTCTTGGAGCACCTGATTCCAGACCCAGAGCCACTTGCTCTGAAGGCATTTTATTCTTCTTACAGAAGGAGACTGATCCATGCTGCAGGGTGTTCTTGATGGGGACACTCCCCATCCGACAGGTGAGGATACTGAGTCCTGTGGGAACTTTACTGGCACACACAGCCAGGCTGGGGCTGGACCAGAACATGGCCTGGGACACCTTACTGTGGTTCTGGCTCGTGAACCAAGAAGACCAGGGGATCTGGAGACACCAGAGAGGCCTAAAGTTTCTCATCTCTACCCAAAAGGCTAGGACTGGGCAGTTGTTTTCTTTTCCTGGCTGAAACAGCCCCTTGGGTACCAGACAGGATCCAGGTGGGCTCTGGCCTCACCCAGCCTCCTCCCTGGAGCCCCCAGAAGCCCAGGCCTGTGTGGGCTGCAGGATGGGAGAGGTGCTTAGTTCATGCTCCCAGGGCTGGTCACATCTTGGTCAGACGCAGCACGTTGAGCCGCACAGGTAGGAAGGTGGCACCAGCGGCGTAGGCAATCTCCCGCAGGACGCCCTCCCACTTCTTCTCATCCTCATTATATCTGGGGGTGGGAGGGAGTGGGGACAGGGATGAGGAGCTTGGTCAGCAGAGGCCAGAGTGGGAGCCAGCAGGGAGGGGTGGCTGGGTACTATACGCCCACCTTGGGGCGTACCCCCCAGCCACAGGCCCATCTCTGAGAAGGTCTGCTCCTGGAGAATACCCATGATCCGGGAAAGTGGGCCTCCCACAAGGCCCACCCCCAAAGAACACCCACCCCACATTCCAGGAAGGGCCACCTCTCAAGGAATCCCACCCTCCTTGGAGTCCACCTCCCTCCAGGAAGGCCTACATCTCCCAAACCCCCTCCTCTTGAGAATTTCTGTACTCAGCACTCCAAGAAGTCCCCCGGACTCCCACTCTCCCTGTGGCATGCTCTCTGAGGCTGCCTGCAGTGGAGTGGATAACTGAAGGCTCTGAAGGTGCCCCAGGTGGCCGAAACCTCTTCCCTCCACCCCCAGGAAGGAACAGCCATGGAAAGCAATGGCTCTGAGAAGCTGGGCTCCAGCTACTTCTCAATCTTGGCCTAGCTCTCCCATCCAGAGCAGGCATCCAGGAGGGAGGGGAGAGGAAAGGCCTGGCTGCCTCTTCAAGGCCCCCCTCTACTCCCTGGGACCTGTTTCCATAGGTCTGTGCCCTAAGCTTGGGGTCAGCTCCTGACTGTGACAATGTTGATGCCCCACAGTGGGGCATGGTGCCATATGTGCAAACCTAGACTTTCCCAACCAAACCAGAGAGAGCCCTCCAGTTCTCTCTCTGGGGGCTGAGCAAGGCATGTCTGCCGTCCCTGCCCCACAGGACTCCCTGGAAGTCCTGGGTCAGCTCTGCCCCTGGGTGAGCTTACCAGGCACCTCAGTGCCTGGCCACAGTGCTGGGGGCCATCAGCCTCACTCATGATTCCCCCTCACCTCCCTGGGGTTGGGCTCACCTCCAGATGTCATTGAGCTCCGTGGGAACCAGCTCCCCAGACTCAGTCTCCAGTGTGGCAAAGCCGCCGATGGCATAGAGGGTGCCCGCCAGGCTGACCAGGCTGAGCGAGCTGCGCTCCTGGGGGAAGGCCTCAAAGGGTGCCCACCTAGCAGGGAGGAGGGGGCATGAGGAGGTGCCTCACCTGGGGGCCTCAGTGAGCCCGGTGACTGTCCCACCTCAGCACCCACAGCTTCAGCTGCACCCCCTGGAAGTCCGAACCCCAGGCACCCACGCTCTCGGCACAGGCTACTGTTTCCTGACCCTCTCAGGAACGCCCACTGGTCTCTGCTTCCCCATTCTCTTGCCCCTCCCATTCCCCTCCATTTTCCCCTGTCATTCCATCCAAGCTGCCCAATGAAATCCACCATGGATCTCCCCCATGTCCCTCCTTTGCTCCCGAACTAATTCCCACTTGCCAGCTCAATGCCGGTGAATCCCCATCCCCTTGTGTTCCTGCCCCGTCCCTCTGCTCTCCTTCACAGCCTAACTACTCTCAAGGTGTCTTCACTCCCCTCTCCCGGCTCTTGAAGTTGGCCCTTCAACCCCGCCCTCCAGAACTGCTCCCAGGTGTGCAGAGCTTTGAAATCCAGGGCTCACGGCACACACCTCTGCTGACGTGACTTTCTTCACGTCCCACCTCCCTGGCCTCACCTCCTCAGATTCCTTCCTGGATGATGCATCTGCTCCCACCAACCCTCAGGGCTTGGGGCTCGCCTTCTCCTACTTACACCCTCTCTCCTGAAGGAGCTTGTCCCTCTGTGTACTGTTGACCCCCAGACTTCTCCCTCCAGTGCAGCCCTCTCTCTGCCATGGTGGGCTCCTCCTGGATACCCCCAGGCACCTCAAATCCATATGTCCTAACTGGACCCTCACTTTTCCTATCCAACTCCAATAGTTCTCCAAAAAATGACCCTCCACCCTCACTCAGAAGCATCCACTTCTCCCTTTTACCCCCAACATCCAATCAATCGGCAAATCCTATTTATCTCCTAAACTCTTGCTACTCAAATTGTGGACAATGGACCAGCCGCATCAGCATCACCTGGGGGTTTGTTAGAAATACACTCTTAGGTCCCTACCCAGACCTGAGAACCAGAATCATCATTTTAACATGATCCCCAGGAGATTTGTGTGCACATGAGAAGCCCTGGCATGTCTTTCTCCACTGCATCCCCTCTGCCCCATCCCCGCTGTACCCTCATCTCCACCCCACCATCACCTCTTGCTATGCAGCTGCATCCCTGCCTCCTAGGAAATCCCTAATCTGTTCTCCACATCAGCTGTCATGAAGTGTCTTAGTAAAACACAGATGGAAGCTTAAAACCAGTCAGAGGCATTTCATTGCCCTAAGGATAAAGTCCCTCAACCCTGCTGGCAGCTTCTTCAGCCCCAGTACCCCCACGCCACCTCCCTTCGCCCACCACACTCCATCTAACCTGAACAATGCCCTTTCCTCCAGTGGGCTCTGTCTTTTTTCTCCTAACTGCCTCGGAACCAGCTTTCCTTTGCCTGGGGCCTCCTTCTCCCACCACCCCTTTTGCTGGTTGAGTTCAACTGGTCCACTAGCTCAGTGTTCTCTTTCCTGACCTCCCACGGTTAGGGAGCTTCTATCTTGTTCACCACTGCATCCCTAGCACCAGCCCAGTGCCTGGTATGAGTCTCTGAATGAGGAAGCTGGCATCTCCTGCCCCACTCCAGGGAGCTCTCTCCTGCAGACCAGCCTGGCCACACCCTTGCCTCACCTTGTGGGGGAAGCCCACCTCACTGCTGATCAGAGAGGGGCTATTTCTGTGCTGATGTCCAAGCTCAACAGCAGAGACCTTGACCAGGCCAAGACCAAGACGGGCTTCAGTTCCTGACAGGGCAGGCACAGAGGGCTGACAGTAGGCCCAAAGCCACACAGGCAGGTGATTAGGGTGGGGCCCTTGGTCCCTGGCTGTCCTGCCTGGGGAAGGGAGGGAGGAAGGGAAGCAAGTGGCCATACTTGTTGTCTGCGATGCTGTACACTTCGGCTGAACTGGTCAACCCTGTGTCTGTGACCCCAGCAGCAACAAAAATGCGACCGTCATGGATGGTGGCCCCAAAGAGAGAGCGGGCAGTCTGCATGGGTGCCAGCTCCTTCCACTCGAACTTCTTAGGGTCATAAACGCACATCTTATTCAGGCACTTCCTGTGGGGTGGGGGGCAGTGAATGAGTGGGAGCAAGCTGGAGCAGAGCCACCTCTCCCTTGGCCCAGTCCCTCCCGCTCTAACCTACAACCCTGCTGCTGCACTCACTCAAGGCCCGAGCCTCACCTGTCGCTGCCTTTGCCTCCAATGACGTAGACAAGATCCATATGGGAGAGGACCGCGTGGCCATACACGGCATAAGGCAGCGGGTCAGATTCGCCCCATTTGAACGACCTGGAAGGGACGACAGCAGAGCGAAGCGCCCGTCTCGGGCGCGTGCTCAGTCTCTATGTCTGCATTCACCCACCCACCCAACACATAGTCGAGGTGCACCGATACATCACCGGACTCCCCAGACCTCTCAGTTCCTGGCTCCCACCGCACCTGTCAACCGCCCCTCCCCCACCCCGCCCGCCTCGGCCGCAGTCCGCGGCCTCTGGCTCTCTCGGCGCCGGCTGTCCCGGCCCAGTCCCGCCTCCAGGCTCCCGGTCCCGCCCCCGGCCCGCGCTCACTGCCGGTCGTAGCAGAGGACCGAGTCTAGGCTGCTCTCGCCGTCCTTGAGCTCTCGGCCGCCGACCACGTAGATGGCGTTGAGAGCCTCGCCCAGGCCGAAGAGGCAGCGCGGCGAGGGCAGCGGTGGCATCCCCAGCCACTCCGAGTCCAGGTGGTCAAACTGCGGGCCGGGCGTCCAATGAGCCACTGCCCCCCACAACCCAGCCCCAGCCCAGACCCCTCCGGCCGCCGGGGTCACAGAGGAGTCCAGGCCTCCAGGTAGGGCTAGCACCGCCTGGAGATTGTCCCGGGAGACAATGCCCCTCCTCCCACCAGGCTGAGGACAGCCAAGGGTCCCTGGAGGGAGGTGCCCGGAGACCACCATTATAGCACCGTGATGGTGCACCGCGCTCAGAGCAGAGAAGGGGCGTCTGAAAGGCAAGTCCAGCTGCAGCCTTGGTCCCGCCCCAATACAACTCCCGAACTGAGGCCTGCTGTCCTCTGTCCTGCACCTCATCCCACCACACAGGAAACTTCCAAATACAGCCCTGCCACTCACCCCTTAAAATCGATGGTGTAAGTCTGCGGCCCTGTCCACCTCCACAGTCTTATAATAAGGGTACTAGTGGCTCATCCTCTTGGAAAGTTTTCTGAGGGCTGAACACTGCGCTGAGGAACACTATAACCATCATTTAACCTTCAAACAACCTTATCAAGCAGGAAGAATAATGTTCCCGTTTACAAATGGAGGCCCAGAGAGAATAAACAGTGTGCCCACGATGTGCCCTGGCTGGTAACTGGTGGAGCTGTACCCCCGCCCCCCCACCCCAGCTTAACCCTGGCACCAAGCTGCCCCACACTCCTCTCACACCTGGTCAGGCCTCACCACTCACTAGCTCATTCCTGTCTCTGTCCCTTGCTCACCATTCTCCAGCCAAAAACACCAACACCCTCCCCTTCATGTCTCCAAACTCCACCCAACTGGCAAGGCTCAAGCCTACGTAGCCAGTCACCAGGAAGCCATTTCTGCCTCCCACAGTCACATTACAACTTGGACTGGACATCCTACTCTACTGGGCCTCAGTTTCCTCATCTGTACAATGGGAAGACTAGGCAGGGTGGTCCCTTTGTTTGGGGTACTCTGTTCCACATTCCTGGCCTCATGCAAAGGCCTCGCCCAGGACCCCTACACTGAGCTTGCTCCTCCTTCTCACTGTGCCTGACCCCAAGCCCTGTGCAGGGCTAGGGCCTCCAACAGGTCAGACGATCCTGGGGCTAACGTCCCCCTGAAGAGACACCAAAGTTATGCAGCGCATCCACTGCCTATAACTCTCTTCAACCTTCAGGCAAGCGGCTATCAGTCAGCTTCCCTGGTCTACACCTCACCCTAGACCCAATGACTTTCCTTAACAAGTAAACACAGCACTGGGCCCCAAGGCTACCCCCCAGGGCCCGGAACTCAGCACTGGCTGCCCCCTCCCAGGGCTGGCCAAGCACCTGCAAGAAGTAAGCACTCATGGGGTCCTCTTTGTTGTCCTCGTTGTAGAAGAGGCCCCCTGCCACGAAGACCTGGTTTTCCTTAGTCACCAGGCTGACGTGGTTCTTAGGGATCTGTGTGGAGAGGGAAGCACAGTAGCACTCATTGGCTGCCGGATCATAGGCCACGGCCCCCTCCTCACTGATCATGAAGATGAGGTCCTGCAGGAACATGCCAAAGCGCAGAGTGTCATTGAGGATCCCTGGTAGCACACGCTCGGCCTCCTCCTCGTCCTCCTCTGCCTTGGCATCAGCTGTACCCTTGTCAGCCGCCTTGGCCCCGGCTGCCTCCTTTCCCTTCTTCTTCTTGCGCAGCACGGTGAGGCGGCCCTCGTGTGCGTCCTTCACCATCTGCACCTTGCGCAGCAGCTCGGGCTGGGCGCGCACGAGAGGGTGGCGCTCCACGCGGCTCTCCAGGAAGGCACGCGGCAACAGACGGAAGCGCACGCTCTCGAAGACGGTGGGCAGTGCGCGCTGGCGCTCGGCCTGCGCCTCCGCGTCGCCGCTGCTCGCCCACCGCATCACCGCCTCGAACACGGCCTCTTCCTTCTCCACGTTGAGACCGTCGCTGGAGATGATGGCGATGAGCTCGTCGGCCGAGAGCCCGAGGAAGTCTGCGTCGCGCGCCACGAGCGAGAAGCGCGCGCAGATGAAGTCACGGGCGGCCACCGCTAGGCGCGCGCAGTCGAGCAGGAGGCCGAGGCGGAAGACAGCCAGGCAGTTGGAGAGACACAGGCGCTTCTGCAGGAAGGACACGCAGATGGTGAAGATAGACGGGATCTGGAAGCGGTGCGCCGCGGCGAACAGATCCTGCACGCTCGCCTCGTCCAGCGCGATCTCCGACGTGTACAGGTAGTGCAGCACCTGGGCCACCACGTCCGGGGACACCTCCTCCAGGCGCAGCTCGCCTGCGCGCTCTGGCTCGGCCAGGAAGCGCGCCCGGAAGTAGGGGCTGCAGGCGGCCAGCACCAGGCGGTGGCACGGGAACTCGCGCTCACCTACCCGCACCACACAGTCGAGGAACTTGCCGTGGTCCAGCATGTCCTTGAGCCCGTCCTGCAGGAGCGTCTGCTGGTACAGGCGCTGCTCCTCTGCCTGCTCCAAGCCCAGCGGCATGGCGGGTGGCCTAGGGTGCAGCGACGGTGCCAGGGGCCTCCTCTCGGTCCTCTTCTGCTTTGCTGTTGGGTTGCTGTCTGCGCAGCTGTCTTCACGGGGCTATATATAGAGGAGGACCGGGCCCTGTAAGGCGAGCTGCCTGGCCTCCTGCACATGACGCAGAGGGGACAGCTGGGTAGAGGCCCCCGTCCCAGAGCAGCCTTAACTCAGCCCCTGGAGGTTCATGGGACGGGGTGGGGTGTCTGGGCCGTCCCGGAAAGATGAGGGCCACCTCTGCCTCATTTCTAAATGGAGCACAGTGAGGCCTTGACTGCATTCCTTAGTTGGGCAATGCCCCTCACGGGAGGGGACGACCCAAGCTCTGCCCCTCAGTCCAGGGTGGGGGATGCATTGGAGCCCCTCTTCCCGGTCTCCCCTCCTTCATGACTTCTGGGCCTTTCTGTCTGGGTGCCTGGATCTTCCTCCCTGGGGTATATTCTCAGTCCAGCCCTCCCTGGATACAGTGTGCTAGGGTTTCCTGCTCAGTGAACTTGAGCCTGGCATTCACTCACTGGGGACCTTGTTACCCCATCTTTAAAATGGGAAGAACTTCCCCCCTTTCTATCCGAGCTCTGAGACCCTCCTTGGACTCTGTAAGAAAGCACCTTAGGTAAACAAGACCGCCCCTTTCCTGTGGGGCTTTGGGCAGGTCAGATCTCTCTGTGGAGCCTCACTTTCCCTTCCTACACAATGAGGAGTGGAGGAGTTAGACTCCGAGGGCCTCAGGTCAGTTCTGCTGAGGTTCGGAAGCACTGGGGGTCTGCATTCCTGGGAGTACGCTGTCACAGGGTTTTAACATGGTGAGGAGTCAGACACGCTAGGAAATTAATTTCCTAGGATTTGACTATTCTAGGTCTTTAAAGCCCCAGGGTTTTAACATTCTGGGGGAGTGACATTCTGGATTCTAGTGTTCAAAAATTAACACTCTGAGTTTAATATTCCAGGACTTAGCTGTCTGTGATCATTGTTCTTGGTCCATACTAGGATTGACCTGAGCCTGCCTGGCCTTGGGGCCCCTGCACACTGTCTAACATCTAAGGGGTCAGGGTAGAGGCCCAGGACAGCCAGTCCTGATGCCCACCCTGCTCTCGACTCCTGAGCACCCTCCCCCCACTCCACGCACACATCAGCCTCAGCCACCAAGATCAGCTTGTTTCCAAAGTGCCAGAGGCTGCAGCTGTGGGTTAAATTTAGCACCCAGGACACTGGTGTGAACTGTTATGGGGCGTTCTCCCATCATTCCTCTGAGTCACTTGCTTATAACCTCAGGGTTAGGGGGTCGGGGGATTGGAGAGGGGACCTCAGGCTGGGCCAGGACTGAGTCACCTCCCCTTGCGTGATCTCAGCAATGTCCCTGGCTGTCCTTCCTGAGCAGTGCATTTGATCAATGCTTGTTCACCCCATCAGCAGGTCCCAGAGAGCACAGCACCCGAGAAGGCCAAGGAGATGGTCCTGCCCGTCTTTTGGAACAGACAAGGAGGGCAAGGGTGGGCTTCCAACCCAGCCCTGCACTGCAGGGCATTTCCAACAAGCCCCTTCACTGAGGAGACCAAGCTCTGAGAGGCTCAGAAACTTGGCCAAGTCACACAGCTGGCAAGTGGCCGAGCCCAGATTCAAAGCAGATCTGTGCTCCTCCAAAGACTGTGGGGATCCCTTCCTACCTTGACGCTTCCCACAAACTAGCAAAAAATGTCCGGTTATCGTCGTCTCCTTTTCCAATGACCAGGACAGAAGGTCCTCACTGAACAATTAACTTATATTTATCAAATGACTCAGTGATGTATTTTTAGATTATGATGAATCCCCTAGTGCTCACTCCCGACCAGGCATTCCACGAGAATAATTTATATGCGGCTCATTCATTCATCAAGAACCTACTGTGCACTGCTGTCAGTGCTGAGGGTTCAGCAGTGAACACATTAGACAAGAATTCTGGTCTTAATGGAGCTGACATGTGGGGGGAAGGGAGCAACAGTAAATAGTGATACGGGATGTCAGATGATGGTAACTGCTGTGGTGACAAGTGGCAGGGAAGGGGGTATGGGAAGTGACAGGTGGAGGTGGTAACAGTTTTAAATGGGACAGTCAGGATGGAATCAGTGAAAGGACTCCATCTGAGCAGGTACAATTCATGGGAGAGGAGGATCCCAGGCAAGGGCACTGCCTGAGCAAAGGCCCTGAGGCAGGAGAGTGCCTGGCATGTTCCAGAACAGCCAGGAGGCCAGCGGGGCTGGATCAGTGAACGAGGAGGTGAGTAGGAGGAGATAGAGCAGAGAGGTAAGGATGGGGGAATCATGTAGGGCCATGGGGGCCAGCATATGGAGTTCGGTTTTTCTCCTCAGTGAAATGGGGAGTCACTACTTATTTTTTAATTATAATCATGAAAAATGCAAACATATATAGAAGTAGAGAGAATAATATACTGACCTCCCATGTACCCATCACCCCATTCAACAACTATCAAGTCATGTCAATCCTGTGTCATCTCTGCGCCCCCGCCCCATCCCTGTGAATCATCCAGGGTGGTGCCCAGGGATTGGATGTAGGTGTAGGAGAGAGGGGGAAAAGCAGGACTCAGTGGCTTTTAGTTGAATCAAAGGGAATTTGTCATCTCACTTTATCCTTTTAACTTTTACTCATTTAATCTTCACACCAAGGTTATGAGGTAGCTATTATTTTCCCCATTTTACAGAAACTGAAATTTAGATAGCCAGCAAATAGGGATCAGCCTTATCATGTTTTTTTAAAACAGCTTTGTTGAGGCATTAATGACATACAATAAGCTGTACATGTTTAAAGTGTACAATTTGATGTTTTGATGTATGTATACACACCCAGGAAACCACCACCACAATCAAGATAGAGAATGTGTCCGTCACCCCCAAAAGTTTCCTTGTGCTGATTTTAAGTCCCTCCCTCATGTCTTCCCCCAGCCTAAACCATCACTAATCTGCTTTCTGTCGCTGTAATTCATTTGCATTTTCTAAAGTTTTATATGAGTGGAATCATACAGTATGTTCTCATCTTTTTGGCCTGACTTCATTCACTCAGATAATTATTTTGAGCTTCATCCAGGTTGTCTACTCATGTTCTGCCTTCATCAGGAATCTTAGCACATCACAGGGGTTATTTAAGAGAAATGACAAGTGAAATTTTTGAGAAAACTTACACTGATTTTGCCAAGGTCAGAGAACACCCCTTTCAAATGTGCCAAGAAACACAACAAAGTCTGCAACCCTCCTCACATGAGCAGGCCCCACCCAGATGTAGGTTCCAGGCTGTCAATCGGCTGTTGATCATTTGCTTGAGTAGCTATGCTCTCTGTCCATACATGGCAGACATTTGTGGCACACCTGGTGGCCTCCCCACATCTCCTAATTAGTCTTTCTATGTTCGGGGCAGTTTCCAGATCAGTAATGCTTCTCTGAGATAGAAATCAGAACTTATTTTCCCAGCTTCCCTGGGGACGCAGACATGTGACTGCGTTTCACCCGTCAACATGCACCCCTCCCAAATTTCAATTCAGAAGAGGAAGCAGGAGCACGCAGAATCCATGTTTTGGTGAATATGGCTGACAGAAAGCACCGTTAGAACGTCTGGAGTCCACTCCCCACTGTCCACTGTACGAGCTGCAGGATCTGTCCCCACTGGCTGTGGTTTGGGCCTTGTCCAGGCTGTGTGGCCCACGACCCTGACTCTTGGGCTCTCCTGGAGATCCCATGATCTGTCTAATTCCAAACCAGCCCGTGAGGATTCTGTGGTCTGCTGCTAAGAAGACTGTGTGACAGGGAAATTCATTCCAGGACTGCTCCACACCACAGGTGCGTGAGGGTGGGCTTGAGCAGCTGAGAGTGTTTCTGATGGTCGGCTTGCTTCCTGACTGACTTCTGTATTAAAGGTGGCCTGTGCTGCAAGAAGTCGAGATGACAGAAACGCCTTCATTTAACATAGAGGAAGGAATCCAAAGACTTAGGGCAGTAGGAATGTTGGAGTGGGTTTACTTTGTGTGTCACTGTCATCAGCCTCACCTTTGTTTGCTGAGAGGGCTTAGAGGACACTGTCACCTCACATGGAAGAATGTGTTGGTGAGGAGTGCTGGCAACTTTGACATGTGCCATGGTGGCCAAGGATGTGAGTGGGAGCCGCTCCCTTTGAAACCTCCTCCCTGATTCCAGGAAGGATGATGGGATCTGAGAGGTGGCAGAGGCCAAGCCATGGCTCATAAGTGCCAAAGGCAAGATGGGCGTGGTTACTGTAACAGGCAGCAGGACTGGAGTGGGTGGCAATCAGATGGTCTGATGTACGGGATCTCTGGGGGTGCTAATGGATTGTGAATTTCCTAAGATTGAAATAGATGGGTACCCTACTAAAGTCCTACTGATAAGCATTCTGAACCTGCATTCACCTCCCCGGCCTGCCACATTTCTGCTAACCCCTCCACCCATGGACTTAATGCCATGTTCATGTTCATGGAACCCTACTCAACACTGCTTCTGACCCAAGATCTCATTTTATAGCAAGAGAAGTGAGGCAAGCCTTCCAGGTAACAATGGCAGATTAAATGCACACATGTACTTTACTTCCCCCTGAAACCTCACTACAATTAAAGTAGAGGGATCAAAAGCAAAAAACATCTCGAAGAGACATAGCATACAACATTACTCCACAGGGACATAACTTGAGAAAGCTAAACCCTAAGTCAGCAACGGGAAACCCAGATACAACTCTTATATCCCTCCGAATCCCCAGGAAAGATCCAGAATTGGAACCACCAAAGATACCTTTGAAGCTACAAGGGAAGGCTGAAATTTGGAGGATTGGTTGTAAGATTCTTTAAAAAGCAGTTAGACACAAAGAACACCAGGCCCATCTGGGTGGAAGCCTAAGGCTTAGTTTCTGAAGATAAAGCAGAGGACCCTTGATGGAGGGACAGCTGGCAGAGCTGAAGGTGGCAGTAGCATGTGAAAACTGGGGGATTAAGATCAAGTCCATATCCTAAATGGAGAGATAGAGAGCCCCTGCTCCTACTCAGCTCCCAGAAGGCTGGAAGACCACCTGTGCCCTCCAAACTGGGAATTGAAATTGGGGCATCTGACAGCCCAGGAGAAAAAAAGAGGGACCTCAAAGAAATAACCCGGTCAGATCATTGTCCAGTAAAGCCCTGCAATTAACAAGTCCCTTCATGCATGCTGAGTTTCCAATGGGCTTTTTGGTGCTCCACTTTTAAAAAAT